AAGCCACACTCAGGCTCCTTGCTGTCTCCTTCTTGCTCACACAGCAAATACTGCTTCAGTTTCCAAACAGCCCTCAACTGTCTCACACACTGACAGGATGCTAGCCAGATGAATACCGATGGATGCTGGTAGGCAGAGGCTCAATTTTTTCCCCTTATTTTCCTCCCCCAAAACTTACCCGATCACATAGTTTCATAGCAAAGCTCTCGTGAGGCTGTATTGCTAGCTGTCTAGGGACACATAGGCCCCGTGAGCCATGGACTGGACACACCTGCTCCATTCCATTCCATTTAATTATCCAATACTGACATGAAGGAGAGCCAGTCTGGTATAGTGGTTTAAGGTATCGTGCTAGAAACCAGGAACTTTGAGTTCTAGGCCTTCTTTACATACAAAGTCATTTGGACCAATTCCTTTTTCTCAGCCCTAGGAAAGAACAATGGCAAACTACTTCTGAAAAAAATCTTGCCAAGAAAGCAACTGTCCAGGCAGTTGTCAACATTATAGAGAAATTTATACAACTGCTTTGCTGTATGGTTATACATATATGTTTAAGAAATTTATATGGCCGCCTCATTTTAAGAAATAATTCTTGGTAGCTCATAGTCAATAATAATAATAATAATAATAATAATAATAATAATAATAATAATAAGTCTTTATTGATTAGGCCCTGGGCCATATCAAAATGCAAAGTTCTAGCAACAATTTATTACTAAAATTTAATAAAAGCAATTCAAAATGAAATTTGATAAAGTACTATTTAAAATGGAACTTGATAAAATACAATTTAAAATGGAATCTAGACAAAATACAATTTAAAATGAAATAGTAATAAAATACAATCCAAAATAAAATTGTAATAATGTACAATAATTTAAGATATAGATAAAATATAATAACATATTTCGGAGTTGCCCTTAATAGAATAAAATAATAATAATAAAAACAGGATAATAGAAATTCTAAATATATTATAGCATAGATGTAAACTACAAAAGAATGGATGGATGTAAAAGCAATGTACAATTTTTCAAATGCATAAAATTTTATTTTATTTATACACGGTGATCCTGCTTAGCTATTCTATGCTCAAGAAACTTTAGTAAGGATGCAATTTTCAGGATTTTTGTATTCTGACCAAAGTTATTTCTTACAAGATTCTTGAAGAGCCAGTCAAATGTGTTAAAGGGCTAAAAAGCAGATTAGGGAATAATATACAATTATTATATTAGTAATGTCAGATTCCAGCCGTTGATTCCCGTTCGACCTCTAGCCTTAATGTCATATTAGTGGGACTTTTTTTTGAAACTTTGCAATAAATCTTGATTGAATACTAATTTTGAATAGCATTCAAAATTACTGAACCAATGCAGTTGCCACTATTGCAAAATTACATTCAATTTAAATATAAATTGGCCTTGTGCTTGTACATACATCCATTCTCTTCAGTTAAATCTTCAGTTAGTTGCAATTCTCCATTTTATCCAAACCAAGAATGACCTCAGACCTGTGTTGTTCTGAATTGGGGAACCATTACTTCACAATTTGGATAAGAAAAGAGTAAGAAAGGGACAGTGGGATTCAAAATTTTTAACAACTGGTTCTGTGGGTGTGGCTTAGGTGGTGGGCATGGCTTGGTGGTCATGTGACTGGGTGGACATGGCTTGATGGTCATGTTATTGGCTGGGTGTGGCCAACTCAATATCACTCACATCGAGGCATGCATCTCTTCGCCTGGCCTCTCATGACTGTGGGGATACTGCAACAGTCGTAAGTGTGAAAAGTCATCATAAGTTACTTTTTTCAGTGCCACTGTAACTTTGAATGGTCACTCCACACAAGCAAAGTACTGTCAGCCTTCAAGATTTTTCTCCCTTTGCTTTGCTTCTTTCGGCTGTCATAAGTAACCAGGGGAGGAGCGGGGAATGATTATGGGAAGTGAGCTGGAGGTGTTACAAACCAGAACTGTATAAGCTGGTGGGGGGGGGGGTTACATTCTTGTTTAGGTTTCTATCCTATGCTATGCGCAGCTGCAACCCTTTATCAAACTATGTCAAGGTCAACGGACAGAAGCCTCATCACCACCTGGAGATGCCCACATGATGATATATACAACTTTTAATTGGATGAGCCAATTGAACTATTGGGGGTGGGAATGTTGCCATTACTTTGTATATGTGATTTATACACCCATTTTCTCAGATTCAGAATTCTTTTGTTGCTACCACTTGATTTCCAGTAAAAGATATCTTTTCTTTGGTTAAAAGAGTCTAAGTATTTCTTTCTTGGATTTTGAATGGAGCACCAGCTGACAAGTACCAGCAAAGGAGGGGGAAAAAAAACTCCAGAGACGTTCCTGAGACAGGAAGTCTAATCCTGCCAAGAATGTAATAAGGGTTAACGGAAAGGCAGTTTCTGTAAGCAACACCAGAATGTTTCCTTCCTGCCTTCCTTACAGGATTAGGCCAGTAATTTCTCTAACAACTGTTTAGAATGTTAACAACCAGTTCTAGCAAATAGGTCCGAACTGGTAGAATCCCACCCCTGGAAAGGGAGACATAGAGACAGAATCCAGACATATTTTAACATAATAGTTAGAAGGAGTTTCCATGGAAATTTGTAAATTAATGTTTCAGGACACAATTTAGAATCATCTGCTTGTTTGGTTTACTCATTGTGGCATGTTTGCTTGAGAATAAACTTTACTTCCACATGTCATTCCTTTGATGTGATACCCAAATTTGATTGGTCTGCAAAGATAGCCAGAGTTTTCCTTGTTCTGAAGAGGTAGATATAAAACACAATGGTTACAATAAGGCAACAACAGAAATAGTTGAGAGTCTGTCTAAAGTGGAAAACAACTGGGATGATAATGGGAGATTCAAGAGAATAATTACTATGATATCAGGGATGTCACACTGGCGGTCTGTGGCCCAGTACGTCATGCGCAGACCAGGCCCATCTCAGCTCTGTGAATGGGAAAAACATCGTGAAGCATCACATGACGCTGTTAATTTGACACCTGTGTTCAAGACTGAACTATAGGGATCCTGCCAATTGAAACTACAGATAAGAATCTCAAAAAATTGTGGACAGCCTCTGTTAGCTTCCTGCTCAAGACCTGCCTGCCAAAGTTCATCTGGGGCTCATTAATTTCCACAGAACATAGTCTATTCAGAAGAAATCCCTGACTGCTGAATCCATTCACATGGACTTAAGACTGAAGAAGATCTTCAAGGTTTGGAAGCTAGGTTGCAGGTTCAGAAGAAAAACAGTAGCACATCTCCTAAATATCCAATAGAAGCTTAGTCAAATGTGCTTTGCTGCTACCAAAGCCTTTTCATTATTTTTTCTTTTTCTCCTTTAAAAATGTTCACCTAAAAGGCCATGAAGGGAATTGTGCCTCTTTTGTAGCATAATAACTAGGTTAGTGTCTTTCTCTAGTAAAACACACTCAATTCACTTTGGATGTTTGGATAAAATTATTTTTACTTTTTAAAAAATGGGAAAAATACATCAACATAGTTCTTTATTGAGTTTTGTATCTTACTTGGCAAAACAATTCTGTAATTTGCAGATTCCATGCAAATTCTTGAACAATGATTCAAGATTAAAATGAGCAAATGAATCACTGAGCAAGCACATCCTTTCAGACTAAAGCTTTTCTTCTAAGCCTCTGTTTGGAGGCAGGACCAATGGCTTTCTGTGCAATAGTAGCTGTCTTTTTTTAGTTTTCCAGAGAACTTCTGTCAGGGGCGTTTTTAAAAGACAATGTCTTTGTAGAAGCAGCCATTCTTTACCTACAAGGTTCTTCAGAACAAGAAACTAGCAAGTTGCTATATTTGGAGAAGATAATTATAGCAGTCAGAAATGGGGAGGAGAAGGCTTCAGCTGGCTTATTAACAGTGAATGGCAAGGGTACTACCTGTTTGAGATGCTGAATACAGGTAGTCTGACTAACAACAGTTCATTTTGGGCCTATTCAAAATTACAATGGCACTGGAAAAAAAAATCTGATATTGGTAACTGACTCATATTTATGTTGGTTGCAGTTATGTCATCACTTTTTGCAACTTTCTTACAAGCAAAGTCAATGGGGAAGCCAGATTCGCTTAACAATTGTGTTACTAATTTAACAAATGCAATGATTCACTTAACAAGAAAGATTGTAAAAAGGTCTGGCAAAATTCATTTAACAAATGTTTTGCTTAGCAACAGAAATGTTCGGCTCAATTATGGTAATAAATCAAGGACTACCTGTATTAGGATTGTTTTCATCCTTAAAAAAAGGTATAGGAATTAATACAGGAACATGACACCATGCCCATTGTACCAAGTAATATTTCTGTATAAGGCTTATTCCTATTAAAAAAAGTTCCACAAATGTATATGTCCATGAATGCAATACAGGTAGTGTCGGGCTCCACTTATGGCCACAAGCGAGTCCAAAATTTATGTTGTTAAATGAGAAATTTAAGTGAGCTTTGCCTCATTTTACGAGTTTTGTTGCCACATTTGTTAAGTGAATCACTGCAGTTATTAAATTAGTAACCCAGTTGTTAAGTGAATCTGGTTTCCCCATTGACTTTGCTTGTCAGAAGGTCACAAAAGGGGATCACAGGACTCCCCCAGACACTGCAACCATCACAAATGTGAATCAGTTGTCAAGCATCTGAATGTAAATCACGTGACCATGGGGATGCTACATTGGTCATAAGTGTGAAAAGTGGTTATAAGTCACTTTTTCACTGCTGTTATAACTGAACAGTCACTAAATGAACTGTTGTATGGCGAGGATTACCTGTATATGATTTAAGCTCATGTACCTCAGTTAAATTATTGGAAAAGAAGTACCTAAATGCACTTAGTTTTCCTTCATTGTAAAAAATTTAAACAAACTTGAAATGGTCTTCTCAGTGTTTTGAACTAGAACATGAATGAGTAGGAAATCCTGGACCTTAAATCCTGCCTAATACCCATTTTGCTTATTTTTGTAGGTGTGGTTACAAAAATACGGCTATCTTCCATCCGCTGACTCCAGAATGTCAGTGTTGCGCACTGCAGAAACAATGAAATCTGCTATAGCTGCCATGCAGCAGTTCTATGGCATTAACATGACAGGAAAAGTGGACAGGAACACAATCGAGTAAGTAAATTTTATTGCTATGCTTTTCCTTTTTGGAATTCCTGAAATATATGTGGAAAATTAGAAGCCTTGTGGTGGCTGGCTATCTAAATCCTATCTCGGCAGTTCTGAACAGCCTGGGACTTAGAATATTCTTTTCTTTTCATCATGTCAGGCAGGAGGTGGGGTGGGGAGAAGCAGTGTAAGGTTCAATTAAAGCCTCAATAAAAGCCAATTTCTACAAGAAAGGTGAAAAAAGAAGTATGAAAAATGGATTTGAACAGTCTTGACATTTTTATCCTGATATGAGTGTTAAATCAAAATTCACAAAAGAAGCTGAACAGGAAGATAATAATCAGATGTCCTTTTGTGGCTCAGGACAAAGTTAAGACACATTTGAGGCCAGCCAGATCATGATGAAGAATGTGAAGAGTATAATTATCAAGCTATGTATAGACTTTAAATGAATCAGTTGTGGAAAAAAGGATAAACCCTAATTCCAAACTCAGTAAATTATCTCTTTTCTGGTACCTATCAGTATCTGTTGACCCAGTTGTCTCTGGCTTTCTCCCCATCTCCTCCCATCCCCAATTGTCTCACAAAAAGCCTTTCCCATTCTAGTAACCCATCATGCATAGCTGCTAAGGCCACTAGATTACATCTGTTTTAGAGACATTCAGAAGCAGCAGTAGAATTGGGGATCATATATAAGGCAACTGTACCACCTAGAGTCATTGACTGAGATGGGACACTTTTGAAATTAAATGAATGAATGAATGAATAAACTGCCGAAATAGTTTATATCGGGGACCGGGAAAGCGCTATTGGAAAACATCTAGCTATTATTCCATTCCCACCATCCAGTCAGAGCTGAAGAAGCTTCTTGGATGAGAAGTGAAAGAAAAACCAGAAAGTCCAGTTGCCTCTGAAAAAGCACCTTTGAGACAACCATGACCTGGATGATTGAGAATCTCCATAGACATCTAGCTATTACATTGAAACATATTGTGTATGATGATTGTATGTAATTCCACAGCCCCCATTTCCCTATAAGAAAAATAAAGAAGCTTAAAAGAGGTTCCCCAGCTCCCCACTTGACACAGATGGCGCCCACATTAGGTCAGTGGTTGTGAGGGCCAACCAAATCCACAAAAAATATGCAGAAATTCTTTTCCAAGTAGTCCCAAGCAGTCTGCTCTTCAACCCAGACTTTTGCTTCATTCCATTCAGTCTGTTATTCTATCTTTTTAAAAATCTTTGTTCTTCCTTTTCTTGATTTTATTACAATTTCTTGGTTTTGATTGTGGTGAGTGATCCAGAGTCATTAGGAGTTAAGTGGCATACAAGTTTAATAATAGTAACAACGAGAGACAAGCAAGTGTCTCTCATTTCTGATTCTATTTTATGATTTATTTATTTTTATTTCTCTGATTTGTTTCTCTATCTTTTTAGTTTCCCAATTGTCAGAATTTTGTTGTATGTTTCTAGGCATGTTGCTATTTTCTCTGTTATTTAAAAGTGTGTTGAGCAATGATGTCACAAATAAATATAAATAATAGACTAAATTCATTAAAGTATAAACGTATGAACAATGAGCATTGGAATAATGCAACATTTGGAATCCAGATGCATTGGATTTGGTGGGATCGTTTTTAAGACACACATAAGGGTAGGTATGTTATAGGATTATGCAAAGTATTTGGAAAGAATGCTTGTAAAGCACATTAGAATGAAAAGTTAAAATATCTGGATTCTTTGGAAAGCATACAAGGCAGCCTTAAATGTTGCCTCTGGCTGTTGTGAGGACATGCACAATTCATTTGTTGGTAGTCCCAGTGGTATTGTTATCTATGTCTCTGTCCCCAGGCCCAGGGTGAAGTGGTTTGCATAACTCTTCGTGATTTTTTGGGATGTTATTAATGTATTTCTGAGTATTCATGTTTTTCTTTTCATATTATGTATTTCTTTAAAATTATAAGTTGTCCATAATTTTTTGGAGTAAAGCAGCTTTAAAATCTAATAAATACACAAATGTTCAAGCAACCAGGTGCACTCTTGCAAGCAGCTGTATTAACTTTTCAGAGGATGCAGCTGCTTTAATACTTGAAAGAGTGTGTTTTGCTTTTGCTAGTATTCTTTGCAAATAATCACTTTTGCATGCTTTGTTCAACTTTGATGTCAAGTATCTAAACTGGTATTAATTTTGCATATTGCATCTTATAGAAGGAAAAGATTACTAATCTTTTTTCAATCTAATTTTAATTCATTTTTCCTTAATATTAAATCACAAGAACAAAATATAGCACCAGATCATCAGATGATCTCATCTGCTATTTGTTTTGTTTTATATGAATGCTGGAAATCCCTTTCTGCATTAATTTTTAAAAATCTTTATGAGGCTGAAATGGTGAATACATCAGAATGACATTTCTATATTTTTCCACACAGTTTGAATACAGTACTTTGACTCAAAGATCAATGTTATCTTTCTGAGCACATTTATATCTTCCTTTGTTGTCAGCTTCCGGTAGCTGATTTTCTGTTGGCGAAAAAGATAGCTTCCTCCCAAATGCCACTAATATAGCATTTAAATTCTTCTAACACTGAAAATTGCCTTCTTCTGTCAAACACTTATTTGTATTAGCCTAGCTATTAAATCATGAAATACCTTAGAGGACAGGTGATACTTGGGTATAGATTATTTAAGTTCAAGAACCTCTACCTAATTTCTTTCCATCAAAGACCTGTTTCTCAAAGTTGATAGGAAGGCACCAAAGTAGAGAAAGCTGATACTACCAATCCAGAGATTTCCCCATTTTTTTCTAATTCTCTAGCATAAATCCTCATGAAATGCATGGTTACATCAACTTGAAGTACTTTCTTTCAAAAAAAAAATGGCTTGAATGCTTCAAACAAAACAAGAAGCCCCTACATAGAGTTCTACAAAGTATGGAAAATATTAAATCTTCCAGATTATAATATTCTGCTCCACATATTAGTGTGTGATTGAAATAGTGTTGCTCCACAACAAATAGAATGTGAAGTACTTATTTCTTAAATAATGTGATATCAATATACATTTTTCTACATAGAAATTGACCTGCTATTTTAATATATATTTGAGTGTTTAAAACATGATAGTTGAAATTAAAGATTGTAAATCATGATTATTGGGATATAAACACAAATGATATTGCCAAGCAGTTCTAGTGGACTACTTGTGTGAAACATAAAGTATCTGCTCCAGAATTTATGCCAGATGGCATAAATGGGATTTTCACATTCACTTCAGTGGAGATGTTTTGGTATATATAAAGTGAAGTGTATATAAAAGCCGACCTATCTCCTAAAATGAATGGGGAAGCTCTACTATTTGGAAAAATAAAATCCAGATGCCTTGCATACATGGGATATTTACAGATATGTTCCTCAGGACATATCCTGCCTTCCTTTTATGTGCTCAAAATAGGTCATATGGGGATCTGTCCTTATTTTATCCCTACAAATGCAAATCTGTAAATCTAAAGCAGGGTGACTGGTCCCAGTGCCCAGTGAGTTTATATGTCTAATATTGGACTTGAACTTATGTACCTGATATAAGCAGGCGTCTAGACACAGTTTGTGAATGGCTAGAGATCAATGCAATGTAATTTAATTCTGGAAGTGTTGTGGACAAAAAATGCTAGTAGATCTATACACACATTTTCAGCTTGTCTTGAAATGTGGGCTTGTTCAGTGAAAAGATTATGATTTGCTGGTCTATTTTAACTTTGAGCTATGCTTGAAAATGTGATGTAGTAATTTGCAATACTAGAGGCCTCAATTGCTATCTACTATCTTATCAAAATATTTTTTCAGTTACTCATTTATGTTCTGGTTATTAGCCTACAACAATGAAATTTATGTTGAAGACATATTGGAAGCTGGAGTGACTGCACTATATAACAACATAGGGTAGATGTTGATGTAGCCAAATGAGTCAGGCAACATTACAGTGATATTATGGAAGCTGTTTACTTTAACTTTGAGCTATGCTTGAAAGACATTGAAGAAGAGTATTGATATAGTTATAGAAACTTTGGGTTTAACTAAAAGGCTTGAAGTTCTATGCCCTAGTTGGTAAGTTAGTAATAGAAATATTGCCTGTAACACAGCTAAAGCTGGTAATTATCAGAAATATCACTTTAATGTTAATACATTAATACATCATGAACTATATCATCTGAAAAGTTTTTGTGGAAATATGTGTTTTTTGAAAATAATGTGGGAATATTCTCTAAGGAGCTTAACTTAATATGCTCAAGGTCTAACCATTTGATTGCCTTCCAGACTTGTGATGTGAATATACAGAAACTTGGCATGGATCAGCAGTGTCAAATATGTATAATCAATTTGAAGGACGTTCCTCTAAGATGAAACTTGATATATGGCTCTTATTTCATATAAAAGGAATCACTAATGTTATGTACTTTACCACAATTACCAATAAAGTTAGAAACTAGAAAGCAGAATGAATTGGAAAAACCAGGAAAATCTATGCATAAACAAATCCTATTTGGGTGTCCTGACACGTTCCACTGCTAATCTAATCCTAATTGTTATTGCTTTAATCGTTTTAGTTGTTCCTAGTACTTCAGAATAATAGTTTTTTCCTGCTTAATGGCTTTTGCACACAGATTTGGGGGTAAAGAAAAATATGTAAATCACAATATTCTTGCAAAAAAAAAAAAAACCCATCCCTAAGTTGGATGGAACAGTATTAGCAGGCTGTGTAAGAAAAAATGTTTTGGAAAAAAATTAAGTATTCAATTTTAATCTGTTACACAGACATAACAGAAAGAGATGTTCATCAGTTAGAAAATGCCTTTACCTTCTGTGTCTAGAAAGTGGAATTCAATATCGAAGAGCCTATTTTATTTTCTAGGATTGTCAATGAAGATTCTTTGTCATCCAGGTCATAGTTGTATCAAAAGTACAATTTTAATTTTTTGGAAATGCAACTGGGGTGATTTTTGAGGAAG